TTAGAACACTCCTCGTATTGGAATTTTTGGGCAGTTAACATATCAAACGACGTCTAATTGCGGGGACATTTAGAGGGCAAGCCTAAATTAACCTCCAAGAAGCTTGGTGTGATCAACAGCTTTAAGAATGTACTTCACAGCGGCCCACCGACTGCAACTTTATAAAACATCTTCGGCCTCACTTGGAGTACCGTCTTCATCTTTAGGCGTGGGTACCCTACACCAGCTTCTCCCTCTGAACGGTTTCCAGCTCCCAGCGGGTCGGATCGTCAACGACTAGTAGGAATTGTTCGGCTGCTGCTTTTCGCCATCTTACAATGCGACAAAAAATCATCGCAATCATCGTGATGCGTACTCTCCATAACCATATAATTTTGTCGAAATGTTTTACCAGATACGACAAAACTGTGGATTTGCCAGGAGCATTGTTTCCGGACCAAAATCACCCGAAACCTTAAAGCTTCGTACAGATTGTGGCGATTCCCGCACAGGATTTGCAAAGCGATTCGCTCGCGCCTATTGCGCCAGCTTAGTTGTATGGACGTTTTCACATTGTCGCGAATACTTGCGCGAACTTTTGCGAACCGTCTTTAATTCGCCCAGTGACCATCGCTACCTGAGTGAATCTCTCGCTACCCGGCATGCAGCGGAGGAGCGGAGGGGGAGCGGTGCGGTGGGCAATAGGCCGCGCACTTAGCTCCCAGCGCGGGCAGTCCTGCGGACACCCCGGGTTATCCCTGTAATGGCGCCCCGGCTTGGCCGGGAAGCTGTCAGATGCGGAGACGTGGTGAAAGCCCTTAACGGGGATCTCGCGGTTCCGCACTTAACAGCGTAGAGGGTATACGCAGGGTTTTTTAGCGGATAGTATGTCGCGAGCGCTTTTAAGCCGCGCGTACTGCTTAACGGCTTCTCCGTTTCGCACCCGTTAGACTTGCGAGAGGCTAGGCGTGAGGTCCGTTCATTGGTTTACCTCTTAAGGGCGCCAACGTCTGTAGGTAAATAGAGGTTTTACCTGCGTAAAAAAGGTAGTTTTAAGGCTGATTTTGGTAGATAGGTGCAATGGACGCAAAATAAATAGATATACCTGAAAGTTTGGAGATGTGACAACCCTGGCTAAGCGAACAGATCGCGCGAGATCCGCGTTCCGTGACTTGCGCGGGAATCGCTTCAGTCTGTAATACCATAATGGGCTCGCTCCGCTCGCGGTGGAAAACCCCTTACTTGTGAGCATAATATTAATGTATGTGGGTTGTTAATTGAAATAGCAGGCCAATAAGTGTTAGGTAAGTCTAGCCCGCGGTCATTGCTCAAGAAACTTATTCACGCCTAGTAGATGATTCATGTAGAAGCCTCAAGGGCTTCTACTTTCCTTTTACCAAGTGTTTTTTCGTACCTTAAATTAACTACAAATTTATTAACGTACCAGGATAATAAAAGCCAGAAAATTATTCATTTATATTGTAATTTTAAGTAGATGATGGTAGTGTTTTACTTATTAAAACCAACAATAAACACGCAACTGTAATATATAGAAACATAAACCGTTTGTTTTCAATATATACAGCACATGAAATTAGTACCTAGACGAAGGGCTGCACTAATAATTAAATTTAGAACTGTATGTCTTAACGACATAAAAAGGCAAAAGTTTGACAATACCGTTGTTAGGAAAACAAAATACTGATTTAATTGAAAAAAAAATGGAAATTGTGCAACTTCCTCTATGCAATTGTATTCTTACATACTTATAATTTTAATTCATTTCCATGGCTTTGTCTTACGTAAAAAATAGATAAAACCATTATTTTATAACACTTTTTTTACTGCCATATACATAAAAGCTTTCTAGACGTCAATTTATTTTTTGTGGTCAAAGAAAAGACTCTTCAGCAGATAGATAATTATGATAAATGAGAATAATAATAATTTTAGATGTCAGTTGGTTAATAGAATGACTTCTTAGCGGTTATTATTTCCACCAAGTCCGTTAGCTCGGATTTAAATTAAAGACTGATATTATTAAAATTTGTTAAATTAATAGCGTATAATAATACTATTAGGTGTTATCGACTTCAAAACAACAGCACATTGTTTACGCTATCGCCTGCCTACAAGTATTTCGCAAAACTACTTAGAATTTGCAATAGGAAATAAAAGGAACGATCCCGCCGACTGCAGTCTATAAGATTAAAATATAGTGTAACGCGGTGCTGCAGCAACTTATGTGTGTGTTGCTCTGCAACAATGATACCCAAAGTAATAAGTCCAGGTATAGTATTTTGCACATCATTAGAAATTACTATTAGGATATTTGTTCTACCTAATTTAATAAAGATAGTTATATATAGAGTAGAATAATTTGGTTCATTATACAAACTTTCATTCCCTATTTCACCTACACCAATATATATTTCCTTTAGATCCTCCTGGAAGAATCCCTTTACCTTAAATTTATATTCAACGATTTATTGTTTCTGAATTCAACCTTTTGTTTACTGTCTGAATATATGAGACCCAGGCAAAAAGCTTCAAAATATACCCAAAGTGATAGCACTTTGGGTATATTTTGAAGCTTTTTCAGCATAGGCAGACCCATTACTCTACTACGAGTGCCTACTCATATAATCTATTACAAAAATCTTATTACTACATAAGCGCAGTATCGTGCAGAGTGAGACTTGAAATATTTTTCTCCCGGTTTGTTCACGTTATTACCCTGTCTTAAGTGTCGTATAGCTATAAGCTACTTCAGTTCAACTTCCTAGCCGGTAGTTTATTATAGAGTCGTGACCAAAGACAGTGCCTGGAAACCGGAATCGTTGTAGACCCAGGCATCTATAATCTGCATAAGGCAGTATTATTTTTATTAGAGTCAAGCCGCGGGCAGGTTAGGTAACATTGGAAAATAGTCATTTTACCTATTTTCCAATAACAGTCGGGATTCCTTTAAAGCGCGCAAAATTATGTAAGGTATATATGAAACATTAAGTCATTGCTTTATTAAGTGAAATATATAAATGATATATTGTTTTAAACTTTCATGGTCACGATCGATCACGATCACGGAGTAACTGAGTTCCTACGTAATCATAGTGATTTCAACAGTTCCGAAATATAGGAGGCTTATAAAAAGGTACGCGGTAACAACCTCGTTAATAACTATAATATAGGATCATCTATAAATAAACCTAAAGGTTACGTTACCAATTTGCATTTTTGAGGATCAATTAATATTGTTTGATAATCATTTAAATATGTGCCCTTTATTAATTTTCTTACGCCGTTCCTAAATGAATTTATATATAGATCCTGGTTTGACCAGATTAGTATTAATGGTTTTTAATAAATAATCAATAATATAATGTAGAAAATACATATTCATAAAGACACACGCATGAAATCAAGAAGAACTGCCAAATTTAGTAGAATCCCATTTCAAAAGAGCTGTGGAATTAGCGAAACTGTGTTCATATAATATTTTCACACTTTCTTCTAGCTCCACACTCATTCGATTCATTCGACTTTATTAGTTTGGAATACGTTAGCCCAACCATCTATATTAGCCACTTAATTCTGATGGATATCAATTTGTGTTTAGCTTTCTTTCCGCCCTGGTGTCTCGCCACTGTCTGGCACAAGCTATCTAATTAAGCTCGGTGCCACTTTTACTGGAATTACTATCTAAATGCGACTGTATTGGATTTTAAGTAATGACAAAATTTTAATTAATAGCCGTATTTCTTACTTGAAAAATTCAACTTCTAATTGATTCGTGTCATCGATATATATCTCTTATCTATTAGACAAGTCCGTCCGTCCGTCCGTGGTGCTGTTTCAGCGGCCAAACCGTAAGAGATAGATAAAGAGAATGTTTTAGTTATAAGTTGAGAATAGTCTGATAAGACTACAAACCGGATGTGAGTAACGTAGCACTTCCGGTTTTCGAGAAATCACGTGATTTCTATTTCAAACGAAATCACACAAAATCTCCGAAGTTCTCAATTTTTTTTTGGTGAACATTTGGTTCACTGGTTTGCTAGTATATTTTTAAATACATAGTCGTTTTTAGTATATTAGTTAGTCGTGTGTATTTTGGTACTGTTATGGTTCTTTACTCGAAAAAATAATAATTTTCAAGATTCCTACAAACTGAAAATATCTGTATTTTTTTTAAAACGTTATTACTAAGTAGATACAATAGTTTCATTGTAGCAACTGGGTTGCATGTAAAAATAAAAAAAATCAATGATATAATATTAAATTGTTTTAAACTTGAAAGGTATCTTAGCGTGACTTGCGTTTTCATCTTTGAACTCCACCACAATTTAAATTTTGGTTAAAATATAACAAAAGTTATAATCAGGTTGTCTCGCCCTGTTGTAATTAATAAGAAGAGCGTTTGAAGCCGCTTAACGAGTCACACGTTCGCTCACAGGTGGTGTGGTGCTAATGGGAATTCTTTAGCACGAGATATTCGGAAATACCGTATTTTATCGGGATATTATATCACGTACCTTATAAGTAAGTAATTGTACGAGGAGATACGTGAAATTATGAGAATAATTATGAGAACGATAGTACCAGATGTGTTATATAGTATGTATTTTAAATTAATGATTACTAATTTACTACTATGAAATCTTTTGCCCTAAGAATGCAATATTGAATTTGTAGTTCTGCTACTCCCCGCTAGTGGCGCTACTATGAATCAAGTAGTTCATTGTATTGTTTGTCCTACACATTGCACTACCGAATGCCATTTTAAAAATACGAATTTATTAATACGGAATCTCACTAATGTTTCAACGTTAAAAGTTTACACTGACGTCGACATATGAATTTGATTATTTACCAATCCAATTTATCGACCTAAATAAAAAAAAAAACTTTATTCAAGTTCAGGAAACTGGAATTCAAAATCTGAGCTACCTAACTGAACTTAAGTTTATACTTAAATGTTGAATAGATGATATTTATTAATTTATTTTTTTGTTTCGCAGGCAGGTGTCGGTGCTGCAGACATCCATCCCGCTGCCAGCGTCAGCGGCTGCTGTCCGGCGCGCCCCGCCGGATAAACGGCCATTGCCCGCCACGCCAGTGCATGGTATGTTATGCTCTTTGGATCTCGATATTGTGTATAATTCAGCCCCCCTAGCATGAGCACCGCGATATGATATATAGCACGTTTTTATCACGATCAATTGTCAAATTACTATGGAGTTTGACAGTTAGACACGATAAAAAACGTGATAAAATGTATAATGTAGTGCTCATGCTACAGGGACAGGACAGTCTTATAAGTTGAAAAGAGGTAAAAGACCGTAGCAGGTTTTAGTTTATCTTTTGTTGCACTTTTCGTAGCAACGTATTTATAACACCCTTCTTTACGTCGGGGGTTAAAAAATAAATACTTAGGTCTAACTAAATGTGTATTGTTCTAAAATTTCGTTAAATTGAAATAGAAATTATTAGTGCTCGTTGGTTGATGCGATTCAATATTGACGGCGCCTTTATTAGTACAGGACAAAACTTTCTTCTGGAAACTAATGTTTTTATACAGAGATAGCCCTAAATAGGCTGTAAAATTATATCACCATTGATAATTGTTTCGAAAACTTACATTAAAAATAGTTTACAAAACCATTGCCACTCCAAAAAAAATAGTGTGCACGGACCATACATCTAATAGAGGCGGTTGCATAAGGCATTATATATATATATCGTAGCGTTTTCAGCTTTCGCCATGTTACCCTCCAACTTTCATGCTCGTCGGCAAGAGCTGTACATGCATCCTACACACACACACACATATAGGTATATACGAGTACAATATATTTATATAGTCGTGTGACGTTCGTCACGTATTTCCGTTTTATCTTTTCCATAGGATTTTTCAATTTACACTCCGTCCGTCACTTCAAAACAAGGCATCATCATCACCAGCCTATTAAAGTCCCTACTGCTGGGGCACAAGCCTTCCCTATGGATTGAATAGGGAATTACGCTATGAACCACCACGCGGGCCCAGTGCGGATTGGTGGGTGCTAACGACTGCAGTCTGTTGCAGCCGGAACCAACGGCTTAACGTGCCTTCCGAAGCAAGGGAAGCTCGAGATAATACATTTTTGGGAACTCATCCAATGACCGACCATCGCGAAAACTCCCACGACCGCAGGCCGAACGTGCTTTCCAAAAAATAGTAAAAAAAAGTTAAAAGCCCTACTAAATAAGATAAGTCTCGGTAAACCATGACCAATAGTCCGATATAGATATGTGACAACAATGCGCCATTAGTGAGCGAACGGGAGCTATGCAATGAAATTAATTAATCCAATTACTGGCGCGGGAGCAACGATCCGCAGACCCCCGGCGAGAGCTTAGCGTCTCCTGTTGTTTGTAATACTAATACCAGGCGAAATGTGCACGTATTTTACGTGTTGCCATAGCAAAATATTCGTGTTTCTCATGGAAAGAAAAATTACGAAAAATAATATTATACAGTTTAATGAAAAAATAATTTGGTGTTTTTCGAACATGAAATTTAGATTAAGTATTTCTGTTTGTGAATAAATACATACTAAACATTAGAATAGCAGAAAAGATGGAAGCAATTCCCTTCTCTTTGAGAGATAATTTTATGAAAAAAGAATATGAATACGGGTAGTGGCATAATTGATTATTCCTAATTGAATCCAATCGTCTGGGGAAGTAGCTTCCACTTTGCAGAAGATCACAGTGTAATAAAAATACCTTTTGTGTGGTGTTGTTTTTATGTTGATGATGATTAAGGTTCTAGAGCTTCTCGGGGTAGGGGATAGAATCATGTTGGTAACGCGCGGTGTCGGCGTATCGTAAGCATCTATACGCTGTGACCGTTCACTATCAGAAGGAGGGCCATAATTAAGCTTGTTTTACATAAAATCAGTCAAATAATAAGAATCTAATATTTGAAAATGAAACCCCATTTTCAAAGCCTATTTAAACACATTACAGTCATTAAAGCCAAAGAAGAACACTAAAATTGCTCAATATATACGGAAAATCAATATGAAAGGCCTGATATTGCTAATTAAAATAGTATGCAATCTCCTATTGTTCTATGTAAAATTGGATCATAATTATCACACACTTACACGAGTGTTAACAAAATAAGTTACGTTTTCCGTACAATCGAATTGTTGCAGACTTGCAGTGCGATATTCACAATACTATTGTAATTTACAACTACTTATACCATCAAAGAGCAAGCGTTTTATTTACTTTTAATTAATCGCCCGCGTAGAGTTGTTATTTGTAAAGTAGATCACGTACCTTTAAATGTTTGTACTCAAATTTGCTAGTGCTTAAAACTTCGCCTGTGTAGAATAATAGCTTTCAATTTTAAATTTTAACCCCATTCATTAACCTATTCATCATCATTATCACCAACCTATTAATGTCCTCACTGCTGGGGCACAGGCTTTCCTATGGATAGAATAGGGAGATTGGGCCGTGCCACACGAGCCCAGTACTGATTCGTGAGTGCTAACGACTGCAGATGCAGCCGGGACTAACGGCTTAAAGTGCCTTCCGAAGCACTGAGGAGCTCAAGATAATAAGTTTTTGGTCACTCGTCGAACAACTGACCATTGCGAAAGTTGCTTAACTTCCACGATCGCAGGCCAAACGCGCTAATTACCTGCGCTATCGAGCTCTCCAAACACTTCAACCTATTCAAATATATTTATTTAATAATATCTTCCGAAATGTTATTAAGCTCCATAGCGAAAATCACTGAAATTGCGGTTCAGCTAATTAAACGTAAACGCGTAAGAAACAAAATTACATGCGGATATTTGATCTTAGTATGGATACAGTCAAAAATCAGACAGAACATAAAAAATATGCGTCCTATCTATCGAGTTTATTTGCTTAGTCCCACTGATATCTGGGACACCAAACGTCAATCATTTTATTACTTGTCCACATGTTGATATGTACATATAGGTAACCTGTGATGCTTGCCGTTTTTATTTGCGTTTCACTTTTGCGCATTATCAGATTCACACACGACATGTCAGAATATCTAAGTGAACTTTGTGATGTTTTTAAACAAAGTGAACTTTGTATAAAAATGTAACGTTATCAAAGGATTGTTAAGTATTACATAAGTTATTTTTTCCTTTTCTTTACTACTCTTTGATATCATTGCTACGTAATCTAAGCTACGTGATTTATTTTAAACACCGTTCCGGGGTTAGTGTATTGAACTAACGAATAATCTACTTTTGTTTGACGAAACGCTCCTATTTAACAATCGGATCAATTTGTATAGTGTTAGATTTTAATATTATGATGCTCTATGTTTTAATTCTCACGTCATTATCTTGATGGTTATTTCTTCTTGTGTTATCGCGTCTGAGATCGGGTGATGCAGTGTCAGTCGCATTACTACTGCGCTCTGAGCAGCACATTCGTTCTCGTTGCGGGGGCGCATTCTGTATTGTGTCACCTCTCATTAGTATAGCATTGTGCTTCGGGAATTAACCCGCGAAATTAATCCTCAAACAGTTGGTAATAATAACTTTAATTGCAAGAATGATGTGTTGTGATATGGAAGTGTTTTTTGTCACCTCATTTGAACAATTGGAAGTGTGTTTTATATGAAACTTTAGTTGGTATGTATAATTTAAGCATGTTCTCATCGGTGAATAATAAAAACTTTTAAAAATTATACTCACTGAGACCACGCTTATCCATCGAAGTCCTCAATAATTCCAAAAACACAGATAAACCGAAATTATGTACCTTTCACATAAGTATTGCAACATCGCTATAACTATATTTTAAAGCTCTTGTGAATTGACAGATCATATATGAAATTGTGAAATTCATTTAATCTTGTAATTTTATTACACTTATTCTTAAGCATTTTATTTTAATCAAATAAATATCCTATGTTTTTTTTCCGGAATCGATCAGGAACCTTACACTTTTCAGCTATAAAAGCATCCTAAGCATACCAAATTTTATACAAATCTGCTTAGTAATTTTCGCATGAAAGAATAACAAAAATTCATGCAAACTTTCTTATTTAAGTTTGTATTATAAGTAGGTTAAATTGTTTATTTGTTTTGATTTTTTGGAGTGATGCTGTTTACCTTAAATGTATGAAAAAACGGAAGTCTTGTTCACACCTTGTCCACAATTATCTCGACAATGTCAAAGATATGCAAAGTAAAAATTAGAGATTGTAATTTAAAAAAAAACTGAGTTAATCTTAAGCGCGACTTAAAACGGTTTAAGGTGAATCCAAAGCAAGTATTTTGATACATAAAATGCCAAAAATATATCCTAGAAACTAGGATTCAAAGGCTGGGTTCCAACTAATGAAAAGGTCTTAGTATAGAACATCGCTGTACATTTTAAACCAAGTTTAAGTATCGAAGAAATCGGACATACAAAATTGCCTCCTATTTCCTCCGCAATAACAAACTGGTGCCAGACCCGGTGCGTGTCTATTTGTATAGCGTGCACACGAAATAGAGAGTACAGAAGGTAATATCGTGCACGTACTTAACTTTGCATACCTGCACTCGGCGGTCGACCTAGGATTGTCAACTTTGACCAAAATCTTTAATGGTAGTGGCACTCGTATTTAGTTGTTTTATTTACTGTCGAGAGTTGAACAGAAGGAATAAAAATATAAACCAATAATAAATATTTAAATTTTAATGTTATTGATATTTACAAATAAAGAAAAACGAAAACTAACCGTTTAAAGTTAAATGTAAATAACCGTCTACTTAACAGGTACAATATATTTTTGTTGCTTCATCTTTGCACAATAAAAGTACACAGACGTGTGTCTTATGCGGATGAAACGCGCTCGCAGTGGTCCCGACTGGTCCACGATATCGTGTCTTTGAGCGGTGTCTAGTGCGCGTTGCTCGAACGCACTTTGTATGTAGATTACCTTCTACGCTGTCTTTTTTGTGGTACAACTAACAAGGAGGTGTTAACTGCTGCTGCGGTTCAAGTGATGGATCATCGCAGCATGTGGAACGGATGCCGTGATGATTGACATTGTTATATTCGCATCTGGTCCGAGACACCATTGATATTGTTACACAGGACACCTGTATCTGTTAAGCTTAACCTAATATCAACATGTTCGGTTCTGTTGAGCCTAAATAGATACAATATATTATATTTAATTTGAAAAAGTGCTTTCTAATTAAATCTAGACTAAAAGACTGTGACTTTTATGTACTTTCGAGTAAAAAATATTTTTGATATTAGTTATTTTATTCCCGTTGTATCCTATCCACTGAAATAACTACCAAATACTTAAAATTTTACAACAAAATCAAAAGTATTGGCCAAGTTTCATTATTTTGATAAAATTACAGGTTAATTAAAAAATAGGAAACTTTTAAAGAGAAATATATTAATTTTGCGAAATTTAAAATATGTAAGTCTTGTATCCGTTGTTAGCAACAAACCGGATATTTTACTCGATTGTACGCCTCGACACCTTTCTACGGGGGTTTCATGCGGTTATTTGTTTACATTCGCCATAACAACATCATCTAAATTCAAAACAAATCAAATTTACTGGAAAACGCGCCCTATTTACATTCGCTACTGACTCAGTGCTCCCTTATTTAGGGTTGTGCGCACGTGCATACATTAGCACTTAGCAGTATGACGTCACGTATTATTATTTGGTCGGGAGTGACAGCGATCGATGAGTTCAACCAGTATAATTGGATCTATTGCTCAGCTTGGACATTGCTGATTGTTGATTCATCGTGTCTAAGTACTAGGAGGGTGGAGGGAGTCCAACATGTATTGGTGATATAGTCAAATAAAAGGTCATGTTTTTTGAAATGCTACATTGCTCAGTGCATAGAAAGCGCGGGCGCACGGTGGACCACCCGTACTTTAATAAGATAACTTCAGCTTATCTCCTTTATTGATAAAAACCTCCGTAAACAGGGTACTGATAGAAGATTTTTTTTAATAAAAATAGGTACTAAAGTATCGTATGTTAAGTCAAGTTTTGTATTCGTAAACTCGGTCTTAATTTGCAGTGATAATATCAAAACGAGCGTAATTTTTGTAATTATCTTCTTCATACTTAATATTTTGTTAAAATTATCTGCGTCTCAATTGTGCTTATCGATAAATTGAAGAAAAAAACTGCAAACACGGAAATAAAATTTAAACAGTATAGCTAAATATTTTTATGATGTAAGTATCGCCTGAGTTAGTAAGTCCTCTGGAAAAAATCTAAGCTAGTGAAAAGTAAGATGTGATTTCAGGAAATAGGTATGATAAAGTTTTTTGTGTTTCTAAATTTAGGAAATCGTGCCAGAATCGACACCACTATCGAATTATATTAACCAATGTGGACTTCAATTATATTTATAGCCATCCATCACGTTACTTACTTCTTGAACTGTCCTGTCCTTATCTGACAGAGCTGCGCATTAAATACCTAGCAAAGTTACATTAGTGGTATTATGCCATTAAAATAACTTTGCAATAAACTTTTCCTTAAACTTATTTGTAAATAACATTGTTATTACAGGTGGCAAGAGTGGACTATCCGCTAGTTCCAGCCGGTCTACAAGCCCCTTGGGGCAAGGGGCTGTGAGTTTCATACCTCGCGCACCGACCTCTTCGTCTGGGTAATGCTTGTTATTCTAATATTTATTAATAAAATATAAGGTCAGGAAAAATATTCTCAAATATAGTATAATATTTATAAATTTACTTACAACTACAAAATTAACTATCCAAAATTTCCCCGTAGTAAGAACTAACAAGTTTGACACAGAAGAATACTTAGAATTAATAGCTTCAAAATTGTCTCTGCAGATCGTAAATACTTACCCAAATTTATGTATTTTGTATTATTTCTTCTCTATAACAACTTTAGATCCAATTGTGTGCAATCATAATGGCGTCGTTGAGTATACATTAATAATATCTATCGCAATATGATGTCACGACTGTGATGATATTAAGTTAATCCCTAATTTGTAATGATTTTAAAAACTATGGCAAATATGGCGGCATTAATTTTATTATTTGTTACAGTTCGCGGCCCAACTCGTCGCTTCTGGCTCCCGGTAGTAAGATCCCGTCCACCCTTCAAATACAACAACAAACATCGAACAGTCACAACGGGACACCAACGAAACATTCTATGTTAGATAAACTAAAACTCTTCAATAAAGATAAAGTTACCAACGAAAAGCAACATAGTAAAAGTACTGCAGTTTCAAAGCGGACAAGTTCTTCTAGTGGTTTCTCTTCGGCTAAAAGTGAAAGATCTGACTCTAGCTTGAGTCTCAACGAGTCATCAAACACACCAAATACACATATCAAATCGTCAAATTTAGTAGGACCCAAAAGTTTAAGGCAACAAAACGATACATTAACAAAAGATAAATCTGGAAAGAACGTGAAATCAAAGCTGGTTCATTCTAAAGCTCCTAAAGATTCAATTACAAATTTAAGTAAATCTAATCCCAGATCTAGTAATGAAAAATCAAAAAATAGCCCAAAGCTGCCGGCCCGTGATAAGGAATCCAAGCTGGCGGCACCTAAGTCCATAAGCAATACTAAATTAAATCAAATAGACGATCAGCCAAGAAACTCAAAATCAAAACTGGAGTCAAAAATGATGAAATTATCAGGCAGCCAAGCTAAACTCAATGAACAAAAGTTTGATGCTTCAGGAGAATCAAAGGGGCATGAAATTGGACAGTCAAAACATCTACCTCTCCAGCCGCAAACTCCGTCAGGAGGACAAAACTTTGGTGTACCAAATCACACAGGTATTCCAAAACCTACAGCAGCTGTAAAAGGAACTTTCAAAACAGCTAAAGAGGATAGACAAGTTATAAATAAAAGTACAAATAGTCAATTAAGTCCTATACAAAGTAATTCTAGTTTAAATTCTACTAATAATGTAAGTGCACTTCCATTTAGTAGAGAACAATCTAGTTTAATCAAAGATATATCCCAAAAACAAACGCTTGCGGTTTCACCAATGCCCGTCATTAGTTCAACCAACCAGACGGGACCCTCACAAATGTCTGAAAGTTCACATTCGAATTCTACCCATAGCACAACAGGGCAGCATTCAAATTCAAGTGATAGCAGCGTTATCTACCGTCCATCTAGTGAGTCTGGATCTGAAATGTCGAAAGTTCCCAGTAATATTACATCTAATAAAAGGCTAGATATGAATACAACATATATAAATAATGTTATAAATGAAGCTGAGATTTCGGAAAAAGAAGCTGCACAAAAGCGACTTATGGACAATTCTTCGTTGAAACAACAACAGGAGCATAATAAAACTTTGACTCAAATGAATAAAAATATTGAGGGTGGAAGTCGATCAAGTACTCCATCTCACGGACGTGACAATTCCCTTGGTGAAGATGATAATCCATTGATGAATGTAATGCCAATGAGACCATTGCTACGAGGATATAATAGCCATTTGACACTACCGATGAGAACATCTGGTTTAGCGCAAAAGAATGTGCCTGGTTATCCGCATCACGCCAATACAGTCAAAGCAAATTTCGGCAGGGAAAACATTGGATTGAGGGAGCGTATAAACTACGGACCTGGATTTTCTAACCCGGATTACTGCGACCTTGAAATTGCCTCGGGTTATATGTCTGATGGAGATTGCCTTCGGCGAATAAATGTAAATGATATGGACTGTAGTAGGAATAACGACTTGATGGATGGATACATGTCGGAGGGTGGTGCTTCGTTGTATGGACGACGAGTAAACTACCAACAGCCTTCGCAGTTCCAACAACTTGATGAAAGGTAAGGAATACTATTTTACACTGTAGGTATACCTAACGATATCTTTTAGTTTTTAGCTGTAGATAGATTCACATATAATGAATATCCGACTAAGCCGTAATAAAATTCAAATTAAAATCTCCCTCAGGGCGTGAGATTCATTGTCACGAAGGGATTGCACCTACAAAGCTGAGCTCTATAGGGTTTTGTGGGATCGGGGCCCCAAACGAATTTTATTATACAACGAGTCCATTCAATTGTCAGGTCACGCGTCGTAACCTGAGCTTATCTCATGTGTTTACTGATAAACAAAACACTTCCAATCAATTTAGTGGTATAGTATCGTCTGAAAATTTGGTTACAAAATATTTAATATTAATAAACACCTTTCACTCTGCTACAATAATTCTCCTGCTACAATAAACTGGTAGAGAAATTAAGACCGTCATTTGTACTTTTTTTGGCCCAAATCCCGTGTAGTATATGCGCGATAATTTCAAAAAAATACTAAACGCATTTTCCTGTAGTTTTCACAAGCAGTTACATGATTTTCCGCGAAAAATTTATGCCAGTAATCAAAAACTATAATCTACCTACAATAAAGTAAATATAGCGAATAAAGGGCGAGTCACTGGTTTTATGTTATTAAATAAATATTAACGCAACAACAATAATACGCCGTAGGTATCACGATACGTCATTACTGTGATATATAAGCACAGTGTTTGTAAGTAAGAAAATCCATTTTCCAATAGCGTTGGGTGCGCCTTCCGATCCACAAGTGGTCGACCCGCCTTCCGTCATTATCCAACATGTAACGGTGTTTCAGCACCTCTTCGTATCCTAAAGCACGATTTCACTTTAGTAAATTGAATTGAAATCTTTTCACTTAACTCTACATAGTTTTACTAAATTAATATTAATATTGCAAAACCTTAGAAAGAATTTTCATTGATACTAACGTTCTTTTATGTTTAAATACCTAATACCTACTGTCTATTGTCTGCCTATTCAATATATTTTGCTTAATTTAATAGAAAGCGGTCAAACTTGTCATCAAGAGAGCATTGTTATGGTGTTTAGCGTAACTGGACAATAACTCCTGACATAACATACTCACATACCATCACCGGCAAAGCAAACAAAGGTTTCGGACACGTCATTTGGTAAGCGCGCGTTAAGAATAGGTGTGAACAAAGCTTTCGTAAATATTCGGCGCTGCTGCCTCCACCGACGATCTCACTGAGGGCTCGTGTAGTACGGCGCACTCACACTGTCGCAGAGTTAGGGGAGAGAGCGGGGTGGCCAAAATCGATACTCCTACGTCTCACGCCCTGCCCCGCACCTCTATCGCACGACCCTAACCACCCCTAACAGATCCGCACCATTGGGAACCTTAACGATCATAACATAAAACCGTACTTCCGACGAGACTTCACGTGGAGTCCCATGATCGTTCGTGCGATTTCTACCAATGTCAAATCCGCGGATATTTTCTATTTTAATATCAAAATGTAATCAGGCGTCTGTTTAAATATCAAATCGAGCCGTGTTTCAGCAAAGGTGCTGCCGTGCGATAAAGATGAAAATTTATGCGGTTCGGCTTATTGACAACAGCGTTCAGTGAATCTAATCGGATTGATTTGAGTGTAAACGGTAGTGTGAGGTTGTCCGGCGAAGCGTAGTATGTGGTGTTGGCTGACGGTTAGGCGACGGTGCGGCAGCGGCGGCGGCCGGCGGCAGGGCGGGCGGCACTCGCCGGCGGGCACGATCGGCGTGCGGGCGCGCCGCACTCGCCGCCGCACTACCACGTGCACGTGACAAACTTTCCCGATTTCCTCAACGGAAAATGTAAATCCGTCGCCGGCATCGATCGCTCCGACGAGACGCGCGCTCACCGAACCGAACCGCCGATCACAACTGGCGCCATGTATCTGAATCGCTAACAAAGAACGGGCTCTTTAATTGTGGACAATATTGGTGTTAGTTACTAGTGTTTCTTTAAGTGTAGAGAGGACCATACGCGTTGTGCCTTCTGTCGCATGTCCCGCGGGTGAAACTGTATGACAAACTTTAATTTGCAGTTTTATAATGCCTATTTGATATTTTTGCGGTTATTAAACGTAAGGATCAGTGTTGCCTTGCTACGTGTCTTTGCTTCGCGGTAGACGTTGTAAGCTTACCGTAAGCTTTATATAGTTAAAAACACTTGTTTCCGATAAGAAAGTTGTTATTCTTCTTTGAAGATGTATAGGACAATATTGGTAAGATATTTTTATTTTAATATGTCGTTCGATAAAATTTCTATAATACCTAGGGTTTGAAAAAATAACCTTGTTAACATCTGGCTGTTTGCGGAGTCAACGTATTGCTACTTTGTCACATGTGGCCACCATTCGCGCCAAGACATATAACATAAACTTTGAATGTGCTACAAAAATTATGCGTGTCACTTACGTGATATATTTATCTAATAAAGGCAATGAGTAGACGGATAGTGACCCGAAGCAATTGATCCGTGTAAGGTTATTGCTTCGGCATCTACAGGGCTCGAAGGAAGGGTGAGTAGATACTTACCCTCTCGCACCGAACCATGATCCTCAATTTCAGTTGAATTATAGATTCTTTTAAAAGTACATTTCCGTTTTCTAAACAAACATACAGAAATAACCCTGAGATAGAAATACAAATACTATTCTCTCTTCTATTTATTTTAATGATTAGTTTTTTCTTTCGATCTCAAAGATATTTCGATGAGGGTAGAATCGTCATTATGAATAAGATCGTAAAAATATACTCAGCGCATTAAATATTGCCCCCATCGAAATGGGGCTTTACTACATGTTTACATTGCTAATGTACTTAGTTAATTCGTGAACCTCTAACTGAATTGATTTTCGGTTTGCAAGTATGAATATAACGAATGTTGACTGTGTGACTGACGTCACTGGTTTGTTTAACCCAAAAAATACATCATACCGATAATTACTACTAGCATGTCAGTATTTATTCATTTGCAATCAAGAGAATTAAACTTAATTTTCATTCGCTGACTGACTGGCCTTTTCTTTTCACCTGACTCCTTGTAAATATCACATGTACGTGTGATTAATTTTATAGCTAATATTAAACAAATAACTTGTATATCTTTAAAAATACTGAAAAGAAAAAGCTTCTCAACTAAGTACTAGACCATAGCGATGACAGATGCCTGTTTCTGAAATTTATTGCAATAATCAGAGTGGGGAACCTTAAGGGGCAATAAACTGTAAAGCGGGACGGAGTCAACGCGAAACTTTAAAAATACGGGCCATTTCACAAGCGGGTCTCATTGCGAAAGTTAGCTTCGCCATGGATATTACTTGCACGAAAGTAGTATTGTGGATAATTCAATTTGGTGGCTTTGTTATGTTAGTGCACACGAATAATTCAAGCTAGAGAAGTATGCTCACCATGTTTATTATTATGGAAAAACTTGCCTCCTCTTTATTAATAAGTACCTAGTGCGTTTTACTGCATTATTAGTGAGTAAAGAATGATAATAAAAAAAATAACAAAAAATCCGAAAAGCTCGTTTTTCATGAAATCAGAGTTAACTTTACATTTAAATTATTGAATTATCTTACAGTTAAGAAGACATTACAAAATATAATATTTATACTAAAATAGATTTAGAAAAGTCATTTTTGAGTAGGAAATGTCAGCATCCCGAAGGGAGTCTTTTAAAAGAAGTACTGTAATTTTAACGGGGAGAATAAGATTTGTTCGACTTCCTTACTCTTGAAGAGTCACTTTTCTTAAGGGCATTATTGTTACTCCTTTACCATTTATATTTCAGAGCAGAAGTAACTTTAAAAAATAACGGTCACCTTTTTACCCGGCTGCGCAATGCAAGAGCGCGAAGCGCGACGCGCAGACAGGGTTATGTGTTTAACAGTCTATATATGTATGTTTGTTCCTTTGTGGCACACTAGAGACCAAACGCCTGGACCGATTTTGATGATTCATACATCAATCGATTCGTCTCAATCATGGGAGTGCTACTAAAGATATGATAGTAATCTAAATTCAATATGGCCAAAATTAGGCGCCATATTGTGACGAAGTAAAATAAGTTGACAAAATATGTCGAGTGGGGGGGGTATCACTGTCTAGATAATCAAAATTCATATTTAGGTTCTTAACACCATTTTTCATTTAATATGATTGTTTAGGATCTACAACGCTTTAAAGTTGTATATTAACCACTTACGCTTTTAATTTCAATCTTACGTTTGTATGGATCTTTGTTACTCTTTCACCTAAAAAATACTGAATGGATTTTAATGAAACTTAACAGTAACATAGCTCATATTTGATAATTACATATATATAATAATTTATGTAGTTATTGAGTGAATTGGCCAATATATAGCAATAAGTGTCACATATGACGGAAAAAAATGTCCCATCTGCGAGCCATTTTGGCCTGCACTGCAAAAACAATAAAAGTTTCATGAATGTAATGTAGAGTGAAAATGTATCTCTTAAATAGTTCTAAAAAAAAGTCCGTGACACCATATATCTATTTTTAATGTGTAAGTCATTACCGCTAAAATAGTGAATCAAAACTAAAATATTATTTGATATATATATCTATTTCCAAAATGCACATTTTGTATTAACAAATCATTTTGTTATCAAAACAAATACTTTAATCGCTTTTGATATTTAAAGACGATAAACTTTGCTTTCTACACTATGTTATTTCGACAAATATTTAAAAAGTTACAACGATGACAAAGGGATAGCGCGGTGTACTCCTATACGAAGTACTAACATTAAAACTGTGATACAGTTCCTTCTTATTAAATGATGAAAAATATATTATCATAATAGGTATTTATGATTATTGAATTTTAATGAAAAACTCAGAATTTTACTGTTTTTCATTTTTTTAACGATATTACTTAAGGTTACAAAAAAGGTTTACTTTATATAATGACAAATAACCCATTTTTCGCTAGTAAGTACATACTTAT